TCGAAATAAATAATTTATGACGGAGGAGAATCCTCCACGACCTCCGACACAAAACTCTCCTCATCTTGCATGTTTCCGCTGTCCATAGTGTTCCTTAACAGTGTCGCTTCTACATCACCAATTTAGTCCTACTTGGTCCCAATGGAATTTTCCATTGGGAACCTACTAGCACTAAGTTGCTAACTGGTTAGCAAGATGCTTTCGAGAAACTGGCCACAACCAAATTGGCTTTCGAAATCCCGCCCTCTTGATAACATTGACTTTATTCACTCATGCACCACTCAGGAGAATTCGGAAATGAAACGGTTGGAACAGCCGCTTCCCTAAGCTGTCTATTTGACCTTTGACCCAGTCTCCAACGTTTTGCTGCTTCCATATAGATAATCAGATTATCATATATATTATGAGAGTCGTGCACCACTCCGGAATTCAGGAAAATTTACTATTGGAACAGCCGTTTCCCTATGACTTTTACTCCATCATAGTGTTGCCCACTAATTGTTTTTTTTTTTTTTTTACATTTTTACCTTTTAAAAAGCTTGCACAGCTCAACACACGCCCATTTGGATGTAAAACAGTAATACAAGTTTAAGTGTTTTTTCCCTCTCAGCCGTTTCTCCTGTTGTCTGCCATCCTTCTCATCCTCTTATTCACTTTGTCTCTTCTTTCAATGTCTTTGCTTTGATTCCTGAAGTGGTTGCATGCCTGCATTCTTGGCTCTCCTACACAGAGTAGGAGGCTGTAAATGATGTCACGAAGCTGTGATTTCAACCTCAGTGGTACTTAAAGGAGGCTAGAGCGAGTCGGTGTTGTTTCTCAAACAGATGGGTCATGAGAGAGTCTCTGCATCAAGCCTGATGATTAGCAGCAGGGGGCGATGGGTAATGAGGTTACTGATTTGACGCTAGTAAGACCCTCAGTGTTTTAAGCTCTAGCTATATCAGGATAAGAAGGTCTGAACTTAGTGAGGCTAATAACCCCACTGCTGCTGCCCAGCACACCTCAAAACATAAACTACCGGTTTGACAAATGTATAATTCAGCTGAAAAACCCACCAGTCTATGAAACTCACATAATGAATCACAATTTATTATGTGAGATCATTGTTAGCTAAACAGCTTAGAGTTAAATTAATAAGCCAAAAAACAAACAAACAGGAAGATAAAATTAACAGGAGCTCTGAGGTTGTCCGGTAAATCTAATGTTCAACCTGATTGAATCAAGCACAGAAAAAATAAATGAGAAATCTTTTAAGAATGTGCCTATTTTTCAACACAAAATATATGCAAATTCAACAGTTATGATACAAGCAGGAGGAAAAGTGTGAAAATTCCAAACAAAACTGTGTTTGTAATCATTGAGAAGTCACTATTTGTTAGCCTGTAACTAAATATCTTCTATTGCATGCATAAACTGTCCAGTCCAGCTGGTACATAAGCATTATACATATGGTCCATTGTCATGACAGATTAGCTGGTTGTTTCTCAGTGTTGCACCAATCCCGGTAATGGATTGCATCTTAATCAGCTTGAACTTTCCAAACTACTTATGTCACACCGGCTGGACACATATTCCCTGTGAAACGGATACCCTCAAACAACCACCTTGTTGTGTGAGGTCTATCAGAGAGAGCACATTGGCTTACACAAGCTTTCCAGCTAATTCAAACAAAGCATTGATACTCAGCGTACAGTTTTAACATTTCTTATGGTTACAACATTAAAATTAAAAACAGACAGGAAACAGATACACTTCTTTATAATAACCCTAAAATAAACCCCGGTTGACTGTCAGATGTCCTCTAATTTGGTGTCAAGTAATCTCAGAATATATTCAGCTGCTCAGTAAAGGCCAAAAAGGTTTGCAAGAGAACATAGAGTATGAAGGAGCACAGCAGATTGGGGATAGAAAAGCTAGACATCAGCCTACACTGGATGGTCCAGAACAGGAGGGGATAACCAGACATTCAGCCTCCATGGTAACTAATGCAAAAAGCCAGATTGATAATGAGTAGCACTGAGTTTACTGCTACACATTATTATCTGGAATCTCTCACATCAAATCTTTTTGCCGAAAAGGAGGGACATTCTAATTGGGCGGAGAAACACCTAGTTTGGTCTTAACCAGTCAGGGTAACAAATAAATATGTCAGGAGATGCCATGAGAAACCACAACAAGTTGATGTGAAAGCAGCAGCTATGCCTCTATCCTCCTGTGCTGGTTATTTTATTTTGGTTTGCCTGTGAGTGTCATGATCCTGGTGCTGATGACTGGCTTAATTAATCATTTCATTCACCTGTCTAACTCTACCCGGTTTATCATTAACTTTCATCTGATCCACTTGCTCCTACTTCTATTTAACCAGCCCTCTAACCAGTCTTCAGGGCCAGATTATTCCCGAGCCAGTGAGATTATTCACGAGCCAGTGTCATAACCCTAGATCATTCACTAGCCAGTGGTGAAAGTGTTTCAGTGTTACCTTAGAGTTTCTGATTTGTTGTTCTGCCTCTAAGCCACTATGCCTGCTTGTTTCCAACTGATCTGTTTGCCTGACCTGTCTTTGGACCTGCTGGATTCTTCCTGTTTCCTGAACTTGGAGCTGCTTCCTGGATTTCCCATCAGAACCTCTTTAGATTTCTGATCTCCTGGTTCTGAATCCTGAGCACATCCTCGACACCGGCTTTAGCTTCGCCCTCTGGAATATCCTGCCTTCCTTAGTCTACTCGGATCTGATCTCCTGCTTGTTCTACGTCCTCTGGAACATAGAACAAGCGTCTGGGACTCTATGAGTCCCTGAGGGTCTGGGACTCTATGAGCAGCGTCTGCCGCGTCTTGTTGTCAGCGCACCGGCTGGAATCAACCATGTTCTCTGGGCGTGGACTAAACTATAAAACCAGGTTAATGACTAACATGTTTATAATGATCCTCCGTCAGATTATCCTGGTCACTAACCTGTTTCTCTCCAGCAGAGGTTCCTGCTTTAGATGCCCTTGCTGCTGTAACTTAAGATCCTATGCTTTTAATAAACGTTTTTGAGTAATCCCACTGTCTGTCTTGCCTTGAATACTGGGTCCCCTGTTCTGTGCCTTGATAGTGGGCTTCGAAACTCTTGTTGTAGTTGCATAATACTGCACCGTGATTGGCCAACCCATTTTGAGTTGAACAGCTAAAGTGGGAGTCGGACAAGATGGATTCTCGTGGTTTTGTAAACCCACAAATACTACAAGAATTCAGCTTGCAGGCAATGTTCCCCAGAGATCCATAGCTCAACTATAAGTTGTGCATGCCATAAATCTGGTCTTTTTGGAGGAAAAGCGGGATGAAACCTGTTATTGAATATACACTCACCGGCCACTTTATTAGGTACCCCATGCTAGTGACGGGTTGGACCCCCTTTTGCCTTCAGAACTGCCTCAATTCTTCGTGGCATAGATTCAACAAGGTGCTGGAAGCATTCCTCAGGGAGTTTGGTCCATATTGACATGATGGCATCACACAGTTGCCGCAGATTTGCCGGCTGCACATCCATGATGCGAATCTCCCGTTCCACCACATCCCAAAGATGCTCTATTGGATTGAGATCTGGTGACTGTGGAGGCCATTTGAGTAAAGTGAACTCATTGTCACGTTCAAGAAACCAGTCTGAGATGATTCCAGCTTTATGACATGGCGCATTATCCTGCTGAAAGTAGCCATCAGAAGTTGGGTACATTGTGGTCATAAAGGGATGGACATGGTCAGCAACAATACTCAGGTAGGCTGTGGCGTTGCAACGATGCTCAATTGGTACCAAGGGGCCCAAAGAGTGCCAAGAAAATATTCCCCACACCATGACACCACCACCACCAGCCTGAACCGTTGATACAAGGCAGGATGGATCCATGCTTTCATGTTGTAGACGCCAAATTCTGACCCTACCATCCGAATGTCGCAGCAGAAATTGAGACTCATCAGACCAGGCAACGTTTTTCCAATCTTCTATTGTCCAATTTCGATGAGCTTGTGCAAATTGTAGCCTCAGTTTCCTGTTCTTAGCTGAAAGGAGTGGCACCCGGTGTGGTCTTCTGCTGCTGTAGCCCATCTGCCTCAAAGTTCGACGTACTGTGCGTTCAGAGATGCTCTTCTGCCCACCTTGGTTGTAACGGGTTGTTATTTGAGTCACTGTTGCCCTTCTATCAGCTCGAACCAGTCTGGCCATTCTCCTCTGACCTCTGGCGTCAACAAGGCATTTCCGCCCACAGAACTGCCGCTCACTGGATGTTTTTTCTTTTTCGGACCATTCTCTGTAAACCCTAGAGATGGTTGTGCGTGAAAATCCCAGTAGATCAGCAGTTTCTGAAATACTCAGACCAGCCCTTCTGGCACCAACAATCATGCCACGTTCAAAGTCACTCAAATCACCTTTCTTCCCCATACTGATGCTCGGTTTGAACTGCAGGAGATTGTCTTGACCATGTCTACATGCCTAAATGCACTGAGTTGCCGCCATGTGATTGGCTGCTTAGAAATTAAGTGTTAACGAGCAGTTGGACAGGTGTACCTAATAAAGTGGCCGGTGAGTGTACATTTCTGTTTGCAGTTCGAAAGTTCCATATAAGAATACATGGCTAACACATAAAAGAAGGTAAACTGGTCAGATTACACCAACTTTGATCTTTTCGGCCAACATACAAAGCCCTGTTTGAGCTAGAAATAAAGTCAAGTGCAAAGCGCCCCAATTCAACCATCACCACCATGGGTTAAAATCTACCATAGGTGACCATGTAGCTACCTTAAAATGTCACCTACAATTAAGTTCAAGATATACTCTCTGTGTGTGCCGTGTGCGAGCCCATAGAACCGCTGTACCTGTTTATAGTTGACGCGAATGTAGATGCAGTACTTGCAAAATCACAGAGGGGCAGTTATCAACATAACAAGCGTTTTTGTTCGCTTTTTATCATTTGTAGTGTATTACAACCTGAGGAAGCACCAGCAAAGATTATCAACAGAATCCTCACCTGGAGCAGGATTTTATTTCCATCATAGTCCTCCGTCTGCCAGCGGACGTCACTGATAGGACTGCAGGGGTGTGGCAGCAGTGGGACCAGCACGCCAACGTCTCGTACTCTCACCTCCATCACTGCGGAGTCCAGAACTACAGGATTCTGTCCCCGTGGGAGTTTCTTAAATGACAGCTGGATCTCCATGTCAGGGTTGGAGTACACCACAAAGAAACAAAAGTCCTCCTTCTTCTGCGCTACACGTCGCTGTAGCAGTAGCTTGTAAAGCCGGACCATGTCAACATAGTTTTCATGGCGACAGTAAACTGTAAATCGGACAATTTCCTTGCCGTAGTGCACCTGCCGGACAGCCCAGAGTGGAGTGCCCGGTGACAAGGTAAAAAAGTCCTGACTGCAAGGTGTGAGAGGCAGCATGCTGCGGCCATTGCTGACTTTTTCAGTATGATGGTAACGCCATGGCGGTCTCTGAAGAGTGCGGTGCAGCATCAGAATCCGCTCCTCGCCACCGTACGCTTCCTGTAGGAAGATGATGACCGCCATGGCTGGCTGAGACCCCGAGGGCGGACTGCCGTTTTGGTACCGCTTCGTCCGAGGCCGCTGGGAGGAGGACGCCCGCTCAGAGACTCTGAAGAGCTGCAGTTCAGGGTGAACCCACGCCAGCACGGCGTCTGCAGCACGCTGAAGGAACTTGGCCTGGCCGGGGTCAGTGATGAGGTGGATGCTGACGAGGAATGGATCTTGGAGCTCACCCATGGATAACTCACCTCCAGAAGCACACATGCAAAAGACAAGAAAAACTATTTAGTAATATGAAGTATATATCTTTGTTTTTTTTGTGCCAAATCCTAGAGACCATGTTTATTTAGACTTGGCTTGGACTTAACTCTGGAAAGACTTAAAAGAATTAGGACATTTTCAGATAACGATCCAGGTAAAACAGAACATTTCAACGTGAGAGGAGAAGCTTAGTTTCTCGCCTGTTATTCCTTTGGCTTGATTATTTTTCTCTTTCAACTTTTCCATCTCATTTTTGTTTCTAAAATCACCTTTTGCTCTTTACGGTCTCTATTCCACTCAACCAAAACCAGCTCCATCTTTTATTTCAGTTTTTGTTGTTTACCTTTCTCTTCCCCCTCTGCTGCCCCTCACAGAGGAGAGGGGCAGGGGAGAAGGGCAGACTCATGTGGTGTGGGGCTCCTCTGCGAAGGCTCATTAGTGCCATTAGGAGTCATTACTGTGGCCCAGAGGAATGTCTGAGACCACAGGAAGAGCGACGCATTCAGGTGTAGCCTCTTCCTCACCCCTGGACTTGTTACCATTTACCAACTACTAAAGTCAGGTTCTCTGCCTGCATGTTTAACATCTTTCTCTATGTTTATTCCTCCTCTCTCTTTTTAAAGGTTTATCCCTGCAGTCTTTAATGGACTTCTCAAGGGACTCATCCCATTTCACTTTGCCTGTGAGAAAGAACGCTCAGTCTGCTTATCCCCGGCAAAGCAGAGTGTTTGACTGTTGCCAGAATCCCTCCATAAAGCATTGAAGTCAAACAGGGACGGCGTCTGTATCACCATTTCCCACTGGCCTTTACACAAGAGCAGTTTCTGCAGGACCAAAGAAGTGACATTTCTGAAACGTTCTGATCAGGTTACTGTAAAAGCCACCAGAGGCAAACTGAACCAACATGTCAAAAATAATAAAGTCTGAAAGTTAAACATTTCTTAAGCTAATTAAGCAAATAAAAAAGGGTATCTGTATTATCCTCAGAGTTGGTTAAAGTTGTGTCAGAAAAAAAGTGGCGGTCCTTCAAAGAAGGAAGAAAAAACCCCTCCTTCTGACACCCCCTCAAACCAATGATGTCCATCTATTCTTCCTACTCTATACTAAAACTCACCATAAAGGCAATGTTACACATGTTCTGGTGTTAAATTAGTGAGATTTAATTTTTCTGAGACTTAGCTGCCCCTATGCCCAATATGCAAACCCCAGAGCTGAAGATATAAATTGAAATAAAGATACATAAAAAAAATACTATTATAGGCCCAGAGTTTAGAATAAACACTGGCTAATGTTATATGACCATAAATGTTATATGATGTTTCTGTTGTTCTGCTTTATGCACAAGTGAATTAGGAGCCTAGTGAACAGATATGGCTTTGTTATTGAGCGTTCAGTCAACAACTTAACCGATATGCATCTTGAACCTTTTGGTCATATCTTTATGAGTGATTGAGGACCCCTCTATAGTTTTACTCAATGACTGTTTTCCCTCCTTTTTCTTGTAAGCACAACAGAAGAGGTTAAGGAGGTGGGAGCTTGCAGCCAATCCTTAGAAAATGTTTCAATCAAGCCAAAACACCACCCTTTATCATGGATAAGCAGCTAATTTCTTTTTAAATTCATCCAATCATCGTGCTGCTCTTTTAGTGCGAGCATGTCGAAGTTGATTTGTTAATCTTTAAAGGACAAATGTTTGGTGCATATATAAGTGTTAGCCCCGATACCTGGCTGTGAAGTAATGGCCAATACCATACCGATAGTATCTGTCTGAAACTGATGTGTGTGTATATACATGAAGAACTGCATACTACTTGAATGTAAAATAATTGCCATCATGGCTTTGTCAAGCTGCTGCCTACCTTTGTGAAGCAGGAAAAAGACTAATACAAAGTGAATCCAGTAGAATGTTTTATTGCCTACCTGGAATGGGTGACAATAGAATAAATTTTTGGCTCTCAAAATGGTATCGGTGCCCTATTTGTTGGTACTCGCCAATACATATACAACCATTTTAGTGCTGGATCAGGGCCCCACCGGATACTGGTATCGGTGCAACACTAGTTCTTATCAGTGAAACTATGTTGTCTGTAAAAAGAAGAAAATGGAATAACTTTGTGTGGTCGTTGCACAAATGAACAAACTGGTTATCCTCTACAAGCCAGTTCACTCTAGCAGAGCTATCCTGAGGTTCTACATGGACCAGGATCTCTCTTTGGGCCCTATCTGAGCTGAAGAAGTAGAACCTGGGTATTTAGACACCAGAGGCTAGGTTTCTGTTTTCACCCAGAATAAATGGAAGGCTATTACTAAGTAATCTCGTTATCAACTTTAACATTAAATGTAAAATGTGACGAATTCTATGTGAAAACATCGATAAGTTAAAAAACATGATTGGTAATACCTTAGGCCGGCTCTGCATACTTTATTCAGTTCCTGTTTTGTTCTAAAACCCAGCTGAGAAAACCAAATGTTTTACATCCTTCCTGTTGAGATCATTTCTACTTCAGTAACTCTTCGTCTCTGTTAGAGTTCAACATCTCTAAACAGAAAGAGTTTGCACATAATCATTTTTATGTTTATTTCCTGACATCTTCAGACGCCTTTCTAACATGCCATTAGTTTTCAGAAACGAGCTCCACGCAGGCACGGCCTCACTAATGATACATTTTGACCACAGAAGATGTTTTAGTGCAGGGCGAAGTCAGCCATGCTGACTTTGACCTGAACTGTAAAATAAATTAGATGTGTTTCCATCATCCTTTTGTTGAGCAATTTGAAGTGTTGCATTAAGAGAGCTTGAGACAGGAAAATTGTAATGAACTTCATTTTGCAAAAAAGCTTATATGGTTACTTGAGGTGGTTTTTCACTTTTTCAAAAAAGCTTTAAAGGCACTAAAACAGACGATGGAAACATATTTTTCGAATAAGTTTCGAATATGTTTCACTGCATCCTGCTGTTCCCGCTCTCTCATGTTCCTCCGCTGTCCCACAAACTTGCCCCCACGTCCTCACCGCCTCGGCTGTCTCTAGACCCAGAGCTAGTTCCTGATTGTCCCTCTTGCGTTGTGGCGTGGAATAACATAGCGCAGACCACGCTTCTAAATTGGGCATAAATCAAAAATATCTGCAACAAACTCACTGCAACACGCTGCTTTATAACTTTATAACCAGCCGTTAACAAAGAACCCAATGACTGCCCATTCTCAAGGGATGGACCCGTTCGTCCGGTTCGATTTGCATGTTTTCTAAGGCAAAAAAAAGCCTTGGTTTTGGTTCACTCTATAAAGCCTCAAACTCAACTCTATTTCTGACATTCTGAATTGAAAAAGCTTCTTGGAGGGGAAGCAAAACGTCTTCAATCTTGGAAACAAAGTTCAGTGGATTGTTTTTTAACCTTTTTCTAACTTTTCTGGAAGGACTATGACCTGGATGACTGAGAATCTTCACCACCAATCTCAGCTAAATTTAGCTCCAATTTGCCCAATTGCCCCATTTGTATCACTCAAAGTCCATCACATTGCCAGGCGTTAATTTATTCCTGAACGCACCTACTATAACATGTAAATCCTTGGATCCTGTCATCACCTTCATATTCTGCTTGAATGCACATTTAGCCTTTTAAAGCCTAAAAGCAGAAAATAATTGTCTGAAAATTCAAATTGTCATTGAACATTCTGTCAAACAAAAAAAAAATAATTAGATAACTTTTTTGTATTATTTTTAATACATAAGGCATTTTTGTGCAATTTAGTTTAAAATTGTCTGTTCACTACATGTGCCTGATTGTACAAGTCACAAATTTCAAGAGCTAAAAAATCACACTGATAATGTAGAAGTTTTAATAACTCATATACAGTGGGGCAAAAAAGTATTTAGTCAGCCACCAATAGTGCAAGTTCTCCCACT